GGCAGATGAGAGGGGGTGAGGCAGGGAATCCTGGGGTGTGCACCGCAGTCTCTATCACAGCATGATCTGAGTGAGCCGTGGTTACTTGCAGATACTGCTGTGTATCTTCCTGAGTCCAGGGAAATACACAACACTGAAACTCAGAATATGTAGCATCTCTTCCAAATAGCACTGGTTTTATTCTCTGAATTCTTTATTGATGTTTTAAAAATGTCATTTCTGGTCTTAGGCCCTTTTATCAGAGCCAGTTGCACCAAAGCATTATAGATATGCAAAAGTTGCCATCTCTGAATATCTTTTGTGTGTTAGTTTTTGCTTTTTTGTGTTTTTGATGCAAGTGTAGAAAATAGTTTTGTATTATACATACACATACACACATACACATACATGTAGAGAGAAATTAAAATCTTTAGTACAGAAAACTTAGAAAGCACAAAAAGAGCACAAAAAAATTAATCTCTGTTAAATCAAATATTTAGTCACCACAAGCATTCATTTTGTGACCTTCCAATGTTTTGTAATGCCTACATAAACGTATTTATTGTCAAAATAATAATCTGCATATATTGTTATGGTACAATTTTTTTTTCATTTAGCAATGTATCATGAACATTTTCCCATGCTAATATATATTCTTCTACTACCCAGTTTTTGGGAACAACTTGATAGCCATCATCTAAATGTGCTATAATTTAATTAACTTGTTCTCTCACATTTTGTTTATTTCCAACTTTTGCAAATGATTTTTATAGGACTTATACTATTGTTGATATTAAAAATCCCGAAAAGGAGGTTATGAATTAGTTCTTTGGCATGAATATCTACGTGAAGGATAACTTTGGGATCATTTCACTCAAATTATTATAGAATCTTAATATCTTAACAAAAGAGACTTTAGCAGTTACCTAGAGTGGCCTCTGATGGGCCAAATCTCTTCCGTGGCCTTCCTGACAGGCGAGCCAGACTCGCTCAGATACCTCCAGGAGTAGGTGCTACTCACACCCAAAGACCACAGCCCTCTGCTCCTCTATGTGTGACCTGACTTTATATGCTCCTGTATTGGGCATAAGGAACTAGATTCTGACACAAATAGATTTTGAAAAGTTGCTTCCGAAACCTTTAGAAGCACTGTACTTGAAGATCAGCATGGTTTGAGAATCTGGGAAGGAAGTTAGAGGCAGGATGGTGGGCAAGATAGTGGAGAATGCTGGCTTAGCTAGTAGAAACCAAGTCATTATTATGGACAGCCAGAGCCTGTTCTCTGATTTGCAAGCTATAGTTATTCTAATTGATTTCTGCATACTTGTGGATAGGGATCTGCCCTCTTTCATTTATTTTTCTCTTGACAAGTAAGATGTGAAATGTTGTTCCATGCCTTTCTAATTTAAATGTTGCACATGTTGAGAACTGATCTTGCCAGCCATGTTAAGCCTGGCCAAAAACATAACACATTGTTGTTATTAGCCTTCATCATTTGGTTAGGGCCAACATTTTGTTTGGAACTATAAAGGAGTATAAAGCTACTTTATAGGCATAACCTATTTCTGCCATAAAATAGATAAGGTGAAAGAAGAGTTAAGTTTCCTTGGTGAGTTGCTTTGGTGAAGCTGATTAGGCCAGGGGTATTCATTTTGAGAGACTTCTTGGGAAGTAAGATTTCAATTTAATTCAATTTTTTAAAAATATTACCTTAATGTGCAAGGCTCTATGAGAGGTGCAGGAGGGGAAATTAAGATGGAAATGACAAGGTTCACGCTCTTGAGGATCTTATGATTTGTCTGAGAAGAAGGACATGTGGACAACTAATAAAAGGGTGTATGTGAAAAGTACACATACACAGAGATTAGAGAGAACGTAGAGAAGAAATGGAGCATTACCTCATGGCCTACGTTTGGGACTGGTGGCAATGACCTTAAACCCATGTGCATCCCATTCAGCCCTCAGGCTGAGTAAGCCATCTGTCTCACACATCTGTACTGATGTTTTTCAAATCTACATGGATGCCCTGGTGGCCAATATGTGAATTTTTTTTTTTCTGAGACAGGATCTCACTGTTGCCCAGGCTGAAGTGCTCACTGCAACCTCAAACTCCTGGGATCGAGCGATCCTCCTACCTCAGCCTTCTGAGTAGCTTGGGACTACAGGCATGCGCCACTATGCCCAGCTAATTTTTCTATTTTTTGTAGAGATGGGGTCTCACTGTGTTGCTCGGGCTACTCTCAAACTCCTGGCCTCAAGCAGTCCTCCTTCCTGAGCCTCCCAAAGTGCTAGGATTACAGACATGAGCCACAGCACCTGGCCAAATTTTTTCATGTTAAAAATTAGCCAGTTCTTTGAAGATTAGAAACCATTGTCTATAGCAATCAGTGACTACACTGACTGTCCAAAAGAACTTTCTGTAATAATGGAAATGTCCCCTGCATTATCCAGTACAGCAGGTATTAACCATGGGCAGCACCTGAGGACTTGAAAATGACTAGTGAGACTGAGGAACTGGATTTTAATTTTGTTGGATTTTAATTAATTGAAGTTTAAGTAGCCATGTGTAGTAGAAGCTACTATATTGAACACAGACAGTGCAGATCTATAGTATCCCCTTGGCAGTAATTTTCTGAATGCCACCCCCATTGCCAAGTTTCCTCTGCCCTACCTCCTCCGAGTTTTTTTTCTACCCACAAGTGCAAGTAACTACCAGGCCCACTTCTCAGGTGCTCCTATTCCTAAAGGTTCTTTAGGCCAAGAGAAGAGTTCTTTCATAGATGCTTAATGAAATTATTTTGAAAGCCTTTCCTCACCATAGACATAAAAGGAATGGTAGTTTACACTTTTCTTTCGGCCACCATCTGATTCTCAGGAGCCTTAAAGAGATTTCTGTATACCTGGAACACATGAGTTAGTTATTTTCATATTTAGTTTGTTTCAAAGTTCATACAGCATGATCCTGCAAAAAGTTGGCTATTTGACAGGCAGGGTGGCTAAGAACAATTATTAGACACTCAGATCAAAATCTTATTCTAGGGCTCTCATTAGGCAAGAAATTTCCCTTCTTTATTTTCCTGATGATTATTAAGGCTAATCAAATGATCTTCCTTCTCTCAGTTACTCTGAAACAATTAATACAGTTCATAGCACTTTACAAGTTACGCATCTTTCTCATGATTCCTAGCCTCGAGGTCTTTTAAGACCGTCACTGGCAGTAGCAATGTACATTATAATGGCTTCTATTAAGGTAACAAAATCACGAGAGGATAACCAGGTATCTCTGAACATAAAAATCCACCTTTTATATGTATATCATGGTTGATATTCATTATGAACATAGTGCTAGTTGGATTGCCAGGTAATTCTCTTCATTACTTTCCCCAAAAGATTTTTGCCCTACACTGGTTTAATACAAGATGTAGGAGGAAAGCAGTAGCTTATAGAACCGAAAAACGCAAGTGGCCAAAAAGTTCTTTTGGAATTCATACTTGAGGAGTTCCCAGCAAAATAATAAACACTTTTCATGGACCAACCTGGAAAGAGGTCCTATTGAGGTCTTTCTATCCAGGAGGGCGTTCTATCCTACCTATGCCCCCAAAGTGATGACTGTATCCCTGTTCTGCTGCTCTCTGGGTGTCGCTCTCTCACTTCCCTACTCTTTCGGCTTTGAGGCTAGAGGTTTGGACGTTTCTTCAGATATCAGACCCAGAGTGAGTAAAGTTTCAGTTGTTGAGCCAAGATGCCCAAATGTGTCCTCCCAGCTGCTACTGGGCTATACGCCGTGTGCCAGCAGGGGAGGGGGTGAAAAGGCAGCTGGGTGATGGCCAAGGGTATATAAATCCTCAGCTAGATGATAATGAAACATCGATGGTTGTGTCATGGTCTCCGTTATGTATGTCAGGGCTCTTTCCCCCTTTACCCTCTTTCATAAATTTCCACAGACAGAAAAATCCACAGGCAATTATTTCTGACATTAAAATTGTGAACATCTCTTCTAATAGCACTTTGCTGTGTTCATCCCATCTTAATTAAACACATCCCTCCATTGTCTGCTAATCTCCATTTTTAAAAGAGATGCTTGGGCTGTTGTTATGGTCTTCGGTGGTGGTGGTGGGGTGTGTGTGTGTGTGTGTGTGTGTGTGTGTGTGTGTGTGTGTGTGTGTGTGTTGGGTAGATCAGGGAGCGGAGACAATGAGGAGTGGAGCACAGGGATAATGCCAGCCAGCAAAGAGAGGTTAACATTTGCAAATATAAAATACCTTCTAAATTTGCCTCTCTTTCTATTTATTCTATAGAAAGAGTAAAAATGGAAATGTAGTATTTTCTCAGCCCCCAGGAAGAATATCCATTCTTGCCCTGTACTCCCACCTCCTTTGTAGTAATAGAAGATAGGAATGAAGAGGCACAAGCTGAGACCCCCTACCCGAAGTCTTTGGAAAAGGAACACTGCAGTTTGGGTCCGTACTGGCCCCCTCCTCCTTCCCTAGAGTCCTCCTATGCTCCGGCTGCCGCCCTCCCTCCCCCTAGCGTCTGAGCAGCTGTGGGTGGCTCCTTTCACAGCAGGAGCTCCTTCTCCTTGACAGATCTGTATAGAAGAAAATAATGGGCAGTGCTACTCAATCTCAAGTCTCTCTGGTGCAGTTGGTTTAGCCACGTAACTTCCTAACCTTCATGTGTCCATTTTATACATTTTCATTCTGGTTCCAAAATTATGCCAAATTATTGTGTCTTCCACATTTTCCTTTATGCTGTTTCAGTCTAAAGATATTTCTTTGATTAGAGTATCTTAGCCTGAAAGCCTCTGATCTTCGCTGAAGGAAATGAGTACAAGGCTAACCATCTGTCAGCAAACTTTGGACTGCTGAATGTTTTAGTAATTGCCTTCAAATGTAGTAATGAGGTTGCAGGTTTGATGAAATGCTTATAAATGGTGGCTTTAGGGAAATCAACCTATTTTCAATATTGAATTCCAAATTACTATGTATTAACACATCTGTCTCCTGCCTTTTTTATTTCAGTACCTACTAGAAATGAAAAGCTTAATCCTACCCCCAGAACACATCCTGAAGAGAGGAGACAGTGAAGCAATAGCATATGCCTTCTTTCATCTCGCACACTGGAAGAGGGTGGAAGGGGCTTTGAATCTTTTGCATTGTACATGGGAAGGCAGTAAGTAATTTTCTTTCTTTGAAACATTTTTTAAGAGCATGAAAAGGTGCTAAAACTCTTTTTCCCTGAGCGTTCATGATGAATAATGAAAATTTACATCTATATAGCTCTTGTTTTCTCTGATGGCCCTGAACGAAGACATAAGACAGTTAATGACTTAGGCTCTCTCATTTCCCCATTTCCTGGTGGGTATTACTGTGCCATCTCCACAGCTCAGAAAGGCTAGTTTATGCAGCAGATGCGGTGAATCTGGACTGTTCTGGCAGAGGAGCACTCCACCACCCTGAAAACCTTCTTTGAGACTCGGACAGCCCTTCCACATCATGGTAATCTCTAGCATGGGGTTAGGCCTCATGACGGACTCTGATTACCACGTTTTCATGGCCTTTATGGGAGGGCTGGCTAAGAGCCACAGGTACCCTCCACTGAAGCTAAGTTAGCCACACACAAAGTCGTGGCAGTTATGTTTCAAAACAAGAGCAGTGGCCATTGGACCCTGGCTTTTGGTAGGAGGTGTAGCATTTGTGTGTTAATGGATAAATGCCTGGTAGATAGATGGAGGGGTAAATATTAATAAATCTGAGTACGTGCTCTCTATAGATATTATCATTCTGTGTAAGGAGAAGAGGCTCTAATGGCAAATGAGACATGTTCCTTGCCTTGGAGAAGCATGTCATCTAGCAGCATGTGGCAGCTGCCTAGTGATTTTTCAGAAGTGAGAGGTCATGGGGTGGAGGGGTCATGGGTACCTTATGAGTCAGATGAGAGCTGAACCAAGCCTTGAGGAACTAGGACAGTATCGTAAGCAACGACACTGTGTGAAGAAATGGTAAGAGGTGGGGCTGTTTGGGGGAATGTAAATTAAGGAAAAAAAGCCCAAGACTACGAATTATTGGACAACATGTGCATTGACATTCTGCTAGCTTTAATTGAAGCAAAGCAAGTACAACATGTAGCGTGGGTTTTTTTTTTCCCCTCTCATGAGGAAACAAAACAATAAATATTAAAGTTTTCTGATAATTTTTTTCTAGTTCACCCCTGCTCTGATCAGCCTCACAAACAAGTGTCTTCAATCCTTTCGCTCTGTTTATCTTTGCTGCTTCCATTTTCATTTTGATAATCATCTGCTCCTCCCTTTTCCTGCCCTTCCCTAACCCAGCAGGAATCCAAGTTGGTGCAGGAAGGGAGGTGGGGGGAGCAAAGTGGGATGGGGTGAAAATAAGCCGACAGAGATGGGGCTTCAAGTTGATTGAAAGGTTTCTGTTTAGTTTTGAAAATATTTCTTCAGAAAATTAATAGTGGCTCTACTTACATAATTTACTGTTTATAACTGGAAACATGTTGATTTGATCGATGCTTCCACCCCTGCTCGGTCAGTGTAATGACATACTCCTGGTGGCCGGCCAGGCGTGGGGAACCTGCAGCCTCAAGGCCACATGTGGCCCTCCACATCCCCGAGTGCGGCCCCTCAACCGAATCCAAGCTTCACGGAACAGTTTGTTCTGTAAAACTTGGATTCAGTCAAAAGGCCACACTCAAGGATCTGGAAGACCACACATGGCCCCAAGGCCACAGGTTCCCCACCCCACTCGCGCCGCTCTCCCCACTCGCTGTGTGTGGGCCTGCGCACAGTCCCCTCTGGCTCGGGCTTCCTGCTGCATGTAAGGTTTCTATCTGAAAGAGACAAAAGAAAGTTCTGTTTAAGCATGAGAAAGAGGCAGAGAAGCCCAGCAGGATTGAACATGGAAGGCCTCACCTAGTATTAGTTGTGGAGAAATTAAATGGGCAAATCAGCTTACCAAATAAGAACATGTTTGTAAACTGGCATCTTGGAAACAACAATAGAAGAACCTTATCAATTAGATCCAATTAATAAAAAAGTTACCAATCCTATGGGAAGGATTAAAAAGGGGCAGGGCAAGGGGTGATCAAGACATGGTGTTAGGAATGGCACCACCATAAAAAAATTAAAATCCTATGAGAAGCAACTGGAAATTGTTTGGAAATTAGTTATCGTTGTAATCAGATAACAATGGGGAGGTGCTCTGCTCAACTGGAAGGACAATGAGATGGAGAGAAATGTGAAGTGACATAGGGGGCTGCAAAATCAAGCAGGGAAGCAGTATAAGGGAAGTTAATTTCCTCCAATTAGATCAGTAGAATGCTTTATTAGGATAGAAAGAGAGGGCAGATTTTTAGACGTAACACAGTATAGCAAGGCAATCAGGTGCCTTTAGGAAAGGGAAATTCTGCATTTGATCCTTACAGATAAATAGGAACCACTCTGGGGAAGTGTTTGTGAAAATCAGGTAATCGTGATCCCAGCCAGAATCAGTTACACTGCCATTCCCTTTTCAAAAAGAGAGCCATGACATTCAATTTTAGAAAAGAGAACTGCAGAAGTACTTACTAATGCTCAGGAAGGCCAAAAACCTTGAAGAATGTTTGCATAACTGGGTAATTTACAGAGTTTTCATTTACATCATTTCACTTATGCCTCCTGATAATGTTGCGAGGTGGGCAGGACAGAGATGACCATCTCAATTTTCCAAGAGAGGAAACAGATTCATTGAGATCAGTGACTTGTTGAAGGTCCTGCAGCCACTGTTGATAGAGACAGGATGTTAATCCAAGTTCACTTTTCCTTCACTGCACTGAGTAGATTAAGGATACAAGGATCAGTCATCTCCAAAACATTTGCTTGGAAGCCCACGACTTAAATTTATATTGCTTCTTACAGGCTAGGGTATTCTTACTACACCTGGTCTTCCTAGTGATTACAAAGTTAATCATCCTATGTAAAATTATATTTTATTGTTTAACATTGACTTAAACATTTTAAATATAGAACAAGACCAATTTTATAATTATATGTACTTATAAAAGAAGGAAGGAGACTGGAAATAAATACACTTGTTTTAAGTGGTTACTACTGAGTCGTAGATTCTAAATGATTCCTTTTTTTAATTCGTATTTGTATTTTTCAAATTTTCTGCCACAAGCGTGTATATTTTCTACAAGCATAAATATGTGTGTGTATATATATATACATATATGTATATACACATACATAGAAAAAATAATCCTTCATTACAACTGCTTTTAGTCCTTTTTGAAAACAAAGCTATAAATCTGTCATGCAATTTAGAAAAGAATTACCACTCTAACCCCAGACGATTGTATGCACCCTTTTGACATCACTTCTAGATCTGCATCCAGTCTAAGTTAAATTAAATGGAGTTTCAGAGCTCTAGATTTTAAATCAGAGGACTTGGATTAGAATTCTGACTCAGCTACTTATGTTAGAATTCACTTAACTTACCTAGTCCTGGGAAGCGTGAAGCACAGATGATATTGAATGCCATACCCCGCCCACCCCAGGTGGATGGCTCCAGGGCAGTTGCCACGGCTCTCCTCAGGTCAGCTGGCCTCGCCTGGACCTCCTGTGCCTGAGCAGAGGAGGCTGCACTTCCCGCCATATACCACTTGGTGGTGCCTCTTGACATCTCCAGCCTCATCGTTTAGGTTTTCTTTGAATCATTTTTTTCTTCATTCTGAAATTTAAGACCATTCCCCAACTCCCTTCCAGATTCCTGTTTTCATTAGAAAGAGAATTCAGGGAGAAAGGTAACAGTCCCTAATTTCACCAGGTTCCATGTTAAAAATGATTATTAGTTAATTTATCTTTCGATGATTAAAAAAAAAATTCTTAGTTCTGTCAAAAGTATTGGTTGGGGGTAGGAGTGTATTTTGTTTTGCTTTTAAATGAATTTATTATGTTGGAGCGTTAGTCATCTTTAATTGGTAGAATTAAGTGAGTTTTCTACCAATCAAGCTGAAAAAACTCCCATTTCTGATAAAACCCCAAAGTCCAGCTGATGCATGGAAGATTTTGTTTGGGTTTGAAACATATGGTGGCTTAAGAAAAAAACCCTGAATCCTCAACCACAAATACATCAGCATTTCAAAGGTTTCCAAAATGTTTGATTCATCACTGTCCCAACCCCTGAAATTACATATTATGTTCCTCAATGTCAAGACAATTAAGAAAGGGCAAAAGTTTTAATTTATAAGGTTTTATAATAAGTTTCTTAGTTCATTACACCACCTTATCTGAATTATACTTATTTTAAACACTGTAGGCTCTGGTTATCCTCACACACATGCATACTGCAAGTATGAGTTGAATATAAAAAACATATAGGAATAAAGGCTCTCATATGAACTGGGTCTTATTCATAATGGTATTGCAACCTTATGGGGCCCTATTTTAAATGGCACATCTTCCTTTTTTACCTGTATTAAATACTGATGTGGCCTTATTTCCCACAGACCTTGATCTTTTCAAGGCTCTGTTTTGGCTTATTTATTTTATAAAGCAGGGTTGCCTGCCGACTGCAACTGTGAACTTTAATTTTCTAGTTCTATGTATCAGAAGAGTAGTCTGCCATCGGGTGAATTACTTAGCCTTTCTTTGTTTCCATTTTTTCTACTTGACCAAGTAAGACTCTTTATTTTCTTTTTGGAGATTTTTTTCCCCCCAAAGAATCTGCTAAATAATGTATAAGATTTGAAGGTGGTGTTTTTTAGGGGGACTAAGGCAGAATATTTCCTTTGAGAGGGGAAAATGGCCCATTGTTGAAGCATAGGATGAGATTATGATTCTAATTTATTCTCTTTGAACCTAATGGCAAATGCTTCTCACTGTAAGATGTGGTTCTTAGGGCACTTCCTCTAACCAAACCTTTCCTCCACAAGGCTGGCATCTTTTGCACTGCTAAAGAGAAACCACCTCCCGGTAGATCCAAGGCTCAATTTTATAATTTGGGAGAAAGCAACGATCAGTTAAAGTCCTTGGTCGGAACATCATAGCTAACTTACCCTAATAGCCAGTACTCAGACATTCAACGATGCTTCCCCACCTAGTGGAGCTACCTTGCTCCTTTCATTTATTCAGTCTTAATGACTGGCTCTAATTTGGATCCTCCTGCGTTTTTAATGGGAAAATTCTGTCTCAGCCTGATTGTGCGTTAGTTCATCGATTAGTTTATTCAACAGACATTTATTGACCACCTCCTTTGTGCTAGGCTTTGTGTTGGGGATACCAAGATAAATAAGATTCTGAAGTGCTTTGAGAGAAATATTAATGTGTGTGTAGGTAGTGTATATAAGCAATATATATATATCTATAGTATGATATAGGTAGATAGCAGCATGAATACAAGCAGTACTATCGTGAAAGTAGGAACAGAGTGTTAAGAGTATTGAGGATCATTAACAAGTTAGTGAGTCTGCTGTAAATCAAAATTGGAGTGGTACGTGATTTAATCCAACCAAGGGAAAGTAATTTTCCCAAGGCCACACAACTAGATACTGAAAGAATGTGGATCACAACCCAGCCTTTTGACTTTTGAATTTTCTCTATTGCTGCACCAAATGCCTCACTAAAGACAAGTGGCCTTCATGGCCTGTTACCTACTCTGTAGTTAAAAGTAAGAACATTAAATTTGCAATTTGATGATAATTTTATGTACTATCATTTGCATTTGTAATTGTTAACAAACAAGCAGCATTTTTACTTATAAGCTACAATATGACCTAATGGAGAAAGTAGGAACTCTAGGTCTAGAATTCCTACTTTTCTTACCTCTCTTCATTGAGAAACCTTCATTGAGCAGCCAGGCCCAGTGTGCAGACACCTTGACCTCTGCTTTCACACTTAGTCCTTTTACCAGCCTTGTGAGGTCTGTGGTATTCTCATTTTACAGACGAAGAGACTGGGACACAGATTAATGACCCACCCGAAGTCATGCACTTGTTAGCCTAGCCAGGTCCTACTCATCCTTTAGCTATCACCTCTGCTGCTCCCCGGGTGGATACACACAGCACCACAGCCCTCTCCTTCGAGGCGCTCATCACAGAGGGGATTTTACACTTACTTTTATGATTATTGGATCATGTTTCTTGCTCTTGGCAGTGAGCTCCACGAGTACAGGACAGTGTGTGCTTGGCTCACCTTTGTATCTTACTATGTAAGAGGGCATTCACATTTTGGTGAGTGAATGATTGTATGAGGTAGAGCTGAGATTCAAACTCAGTTCTCTTTATTACCAATAATCTGTATAAAGTTCTCTGAGATACTCTTTGAAAAGGCATCATGGACAGATAAAATATCAAAAATTACCTTCCATCCCTGTCTATATGATGGCTAGGGTGAGAGGTCATGAGCAGTCGCTGGGAGAATTAACTTGTTGGTGTAATCCATCCTTCTGTCTATCCTTTGGTTCTGCTGAGTCTTTCACCGGTATGGGTGGAGGGCATGAATGACTCATGACTGATAGGCTTGGGGCCTGGAAAGCATGTCTGGTCAGGGGTAGAAGAAGGAAGCAGTGTCATGCCTCAGACTGATTGTGGAGCCATGATGTAGTCATGAACTAGTTCCCAGTTTCATTGTGACCTTTCAACAAAGGCACAACCAAAATCAATGTAGGGGAAGGCGTGGCACACAAAGGAAAAAGGCAGGGATGTCATTTGTATATCTTGTGTTAACTCTGAATCGCCTAGCCTTTTTGTTCTGTTTTTACCAAATACATGTGTATTTTTAATGCCTCTGCAATGTGTTTTTTTCTCAGGCAAAGATTTTTAGAAGGTCTGTAGTCATTCATAAAATAGGATCTGTTCAAATGACCTTTTACCATTCTTAATTGCACCGCCAAATCGGTGGATTCTTAATACTTGGACTTGCAAATTTTCTGGACATTTGGCTAAAGCCACGTGGCTCTCGTGGAGCAGTTGCATGTCTTAACAGTGAAAGGGACCAGGAGGTGGGAGGTGAAGCTGGCAGGGCTTGTGCAGTGCCTCTTCCCTGCTCTCTGCAGACCTCCCCTGCTTATCTCACACTTTGCTGGACCCTGCACAGCAGGGTGGGTAAAGGCTAGAATTGCAAGCAGAAATTGTATTTGCTTTTGTTTAGTGAAGCCAAAAGCCTTAATATTATTTTATGAACTCAATGTAAATGACAACTGACATGAGAAAGAGAGATTTTAAGAGCACCATAAGCATCTTTACAATCATGGGTGGAGGGCAATCCAGGAAATGTGTATACACTCTTTTTTAAGTTATATATAATCAGTGTTTCTACCCTCAGAAAAAAAACAAAAAAACAGAACCAATTAGAAGAAGGAAAAGACTTAACTTGATACACAAAATTCTGTATTCATGCCAAATACTGGAGTAAAAAACATTTAGCATTTAACTGACAAGACCCCAACCAACCATTAGATTTCTATGCTTGAGCACTCTGAAGATCTTGCATTCCTATATTTCATTTAAAAAATCGCTCCCTGAAGTGTAAAACGACTTTGATTTTGAATAAAATTTAGCATTCAAATTTATAGCCACTTTGAAAACTGAGCATTCATTTCGATCATGTGAACCTGAACAGATTCTTAATTACAACAGTCTTTTTGCACATGGAGAATCTGGATTTCAAAAAAAAAAAAAACAGCTTCCCATGTAGGTTTTTCCACATTTTTCAGATGCTTTCGTAGCAGCCATCATTTGTGGGAAATAGTATTAAAATCCTGCCATGTTGTAGTTTAAATTCAAATTCAGTGCTTCCCAGAAGAGATTTTAGTGTATCCTATAAAGTCACTAAAAGGTTTGTTTTTGTTTTTGTGAAGGTTTTTTTGTTCCTTTGAAAGTCTAGTTCTAATGAGAGAGAGAGAGAGATGTTGGTTCCTTCCAGTGATCTTTGTGTGTTAACAACCTGCGCAAGGAACGCGTCTCTTGCTTGTTCTAACGGGCAAAAGTCATCTTTGTTTGCATGAAAGAAAAGGTCTGATTGAACTAGGGTGAGCCTTTCATTTTAGGAAGAGTTAAAGTCTGGGGGTGTTTTTAATGTTTTAATCTCTGTTTAAGAGGTTTCTGTTACGAGAGGAAAATTGATAACATTTTTACCTCAGCACACTGCCAGCAAACTGGCTTTGCTCTAATCCCACATTTATAGTGATTTATATTCTCCGTGGCAATGTGCTGTAACCTCAGAGTGATACCACTGTGGTGTAGATGGACTGCATTCCAAATGCTGGGATCACATACATAATGTTTTTACTTTTAAATAATATTCAGACACCAGAATAAATACCATATGTGCGCTGATGCTGGTTACAATGGAACCTTGTCATTTCTTGTGAGGGAGAACATTCTTTGTTTCTGATTCCTATTTGAAACAAGTATGCAAAAGATAAATATGTACATTGACAGCATTTCGAGAAGGCTTTGGTAATTACACAGCTGAGGATATAGCTACGATTCCTTGAGATGTAGCATTTAAAACTAAGAATATTGGTGTGTGTTGCCACCATTCCTCATTGACGTACATGAAGGCAAGGATTGTTATCTGACATTCCCAGTGTAGCTTTTATATTTTATATCTACATTGTGTTGTAGTTAAAGGACATCTGTTGAAGAAAAATTACCTCCATGCACACTGCTCATAGGAACAGTGAGACTAACATGCTGATGACATTGTACCAGGGAGAGTAACGCGTTCGATAATGGGAAGGGATGGATTGATTGGAAAGCCATAATTCAGTGTGAGGCCTAATGTCATCTGATGTCACAAAAGCAGAATTTAGGTGGCCTAATATCGTCAAAGTACAGATAATCAACCTCTCCAGATCCATTTTTCCCCACATGATATTGAAGATTTAAAAGTTTCATAAAGTTTAGAAATACCTCCTAAGTCATACATTTTTAGACTTTCATTTTTATCCATCTTGGTTGGAATTCTAATCCACTGAAACATATTTTTTATATAGACATGGTAGAGTATCATTCGTATTTACACATCTGTAGAAAGCTCCATTCACCAAGTCAATTCACATTTGTTTCTTGGGAAAGCATTTCAATCCAGGTTTTTTGCATTGTTACCATTGGTTTAGCCATACTGAACTAGTGCCTATAACATTTTAATAATGCTTTGTAGGTGAGGAAGCCCTGGGCATTGGTATTGATGGCTTCCCTACCCCTCTGCACCTCGATCCCCACCCAGTTTTGTGAGGTTTGCCCAGAACATATAGTGTAAGATTAATGTGTGAGTAACATATCACAATTTATCTCTGACATTTTATCTGGCACGTGACTTAGTTGGGTAAGTCTTGCCTCCTTTGTAGAAGTGTTCTCTGTTATAAAACTGCTCAGAAGTCCCTTTTTGAAGTTGGGAAGTTATGAGACAAATATTGGACATATTGAACATATCTAACATATTGTCTCTCCTTTTCAGCTTTTCGGATGATCCCTTATCCCTTGGAAAAGGGGCACCTATTTTATCCTTACCCAATCTGTACAGAAACAGCAGACCGAGAGCTGCTTCCATGTAAGTCTCACCTTTCTTCAGCCAGTAAGGGGGGTGGCGTGACGAAAGGTGGGGATGCGAAGAGATGGGAATGATCAATGTTTATACTGTTCCTGGTCTTTTATTACTTTTCTCCCAACCCTGTCCTTGTTTGATAGCACATGTATTAAAGTGAATTATGTGAGTGGGTTTGGCCTCCTATTCCTCCAAGCCTCTCCAAATTCATCAGAGGGAAAGACGCCAAAGGACTGAAGTTGAGATGAAGAAGCCTCATGCGCTGATTGGCCTGACTACAGAGACCCCTGGTTTGGGGCTGCCGTCCGCTGGGCTGCTCCATCGTGAGGGCTCAGCCTGGGCTCTCCAGCTGGCCAGTGGTGGGCTGCACAGACTGGAGCTTGAAGAGGAAGTGCTGACTTGAGAGAGAGCTGCAGATGAGTCACGGATGGGAGGACAGCACCAGCATGCTGGCAGCGCCAGCAGAGGCGGAGTTGTGGGGGGTACCGAGAGCTCTCTGTGGCGAGGCAGTGCTCTTGGCCAGAGGGGTTTCCCATGAGTGTCTTGTGGCTCGCACTGGGGAGTTGGTGTAACATGTGCTGAGCACACATGCAGCCTCAGCACTGTGTAAAAGCACACAAAGGAAAACCCTGCCCTCGAGTACCTTACAGGCTAGCAGGCTAATGGCCCATACCACATGTGGAAAATATTATTTTGGTTTACTGTAATATAACATTGTTTTGACAATTCAGGCTAAATAGTTATTATCAAATCATACTGTGTACAAGGATCATGTCCAGGCTCTTCATGTGGCCCTGACTTAGGACATATTTTTCTCCCTCAGATAATAAGCTCCAAATTTTGGCTATACTCTCTTTGCTATTCTTTCTCCTACCCCCAACCCCCGCCTACTTTCTTTCACCAGGCACAGTTATATCAATATCTCATAGCTGTCACGTATATACATACTTCGCCCAGAGGAATAGTGTAACTTTGGAGCCCTGGGTGCATAGTAAATTTTCAAATGCCAGCATTATTGAACCAGTCATAAATCTCCGACGTGGTGGGATCTGGGTGCAGAACTAAATTGCTGTCATCAGATTGAGGTAGCAGGAGGTACCTGACCTGTTTCCTTGCCAGCCAGACCCAATGTGAGATTTGTTACTTAGGGAGATCTCAGTGATGTGTTCCTCATTGTCCAAGTTTTATCGTGAAAAAGGGGCTGGTGCCCCACACAGCATTAGATTTGATTTCAGAAATCCATGCTGTGGGCCCTTAGTTTACCTTTTGACTCCTCCTTCAGGGAGATCCTTGTTAAAAGTTTCAGTTTTCTGAAAAGTACAATGTTTTTAAGTGTTTTAATTATGCCCGATTAAGTTTCCATGGGGATAGTTTAGTTACTAGAACAAGATTACAGTCCTTAAAAGAAACTTTATAGGGATGATCTTTATAAGCCTAAAATAGAAAATTATGGCTCACATTTATTTAATTGAATGCAGTGGTCCAAGTCTGATCTCCCTCCAAAGTCTTTTTTGGGTTGGGTGTTGGGGGTGAGGATATGATGAGAGTAGGTTGTTTTAAATGCTACCCATATTTTGCACATTAAAAGTATAACTATTGCCACATTGGGCCCCGAGCGAAACATGGTTCCACCCTGTGTTTGAATCCTAGCCGACCTACCTGGGTTCAGGTGGGCTTGCTTGCATGTGCTTTGTCCCTCCCTAATCCTGCCTACCCTCGGTTTTCAGCAGTGTGGGTTGCTGTTTAGGGCTCTGAGTAACAAGAGCCGAATGGTAGAGGAAAGGCCTGCAGCTCTTGTATTTCCTGAGGAAAATGGTGCGCTTGGATCCTTTGGTTAGAGTGGGGATATTGCTCACCTGCAAGGTCACAGTCTGCCAGGGCCCAGCAGGTGGTTCTTTCTCCTCTGTGCAAGCCAGCCCTACCTCCTCTGGCCGCACCCTGTCAGCCCAGACAGTCACAGGCAGCCGCAGAAAGAGCAGAAAGAAGGAGCCCATCCTCTTGGCCTTTGTACCACAGCTTTTTGGTTTTCCCCAAACTCAGTGTTTGAAGTGTAATAGTTATGAAAGGCACTCTCATAAAAAAAAAAAGCACCAGCTTTTTTTTTTTTTTTCGGTGATTGTTGGAAGTATATTTATCATCAAGTGTCTCCTACAATTGCAGATAACCCCAGCCACCTTGCCCTTCACCCCTTGTGAGTTAAATAGGCCAGCATGTGAGGTCCTTGCGGAATGTCTCTATCAGGGCGGCGCCCTCCACTGACATGCTTAGAGTGTGCCAGGAAAAAATACAAGATAAACTAATATCGCCTCATTATGATGACTTAAAAAATACAGGAGGGTGAAAGTGTAGACAGGGGATTTTTTTTTTTTTTCAGTATACTTGATTTTGGATTTTCCAGGTTTTGTACAATGAACATGTACTTTATAATTTGAATAAAGTTTTGTTTATTTGTGTTTGCTTTTGAGAAATGAAAACTATACACTGGGCATAAATGGTACTACTGTCTATCCCTGCCCACTTATGTGTGACTTCCCCAGATTAGCCCCATCATGCCTCCAGCTAGAACACTAAAGGTTGGGCGTGGACTTGGACAGCCAAAGGCCAGATCAGCTGTTGGCGCTGGCATGTCAAGTACCCTACCTTTTTCATTTCCAACAGGCTTCAGACTCTTTCTAAAGCTCTGAAGAACCAGCCCCACCGTATATAAATTCCCTGTGAATGTATTTCATTGCAGTCCTAACATTTCCCTTTTGGTCTCCTCCACAGCTTTCCATGAAGTCTCAGTTTACCCAAAGAAGGAGCTTCCCTTCTTTATTCTCTTCACTGCTGGACTGTGCTCCTTCACAGCCATGCTGGCCCTTCTCACACACCAGTTCCCAGAGCTCATGGGCGTCTTCGCAAAAGCTGTGAGTGTTTGCCTAGAGGGCGGCCTCAGGGAGTGGGTAGGGGCAGCGGGGGAAGTCACATGAGAGAAAAAGGGGACTGTCGCGTAGAGATGGATACGAGCCGGTAGAGATCTTTGCTCACTGTTTAATTTTCATTATCATCAGTGGAACCAGAAGGTTAAGGGTCAAATGAGAGAGCATAGGTTGTCAATGCATCTCTTGCCTCATTTTACAAAGCAGATTCTCAGCAGTCTCTAAAAACTGCATGAGTCCAAAAGGATGAAATAATTTAGGGTATCCTAGAAAATAAAAAATGTGTGGGAAATTATTCAGTTTTGTGTAAACTGAATGACATTATTTCTAATCTTTGGATATATAGGTCTTTCCTTCATGAAGGATAAGATTTACGTTTATAAAGATGATTTAAATATTTTTTTTAATGGCTACAAACCCTTGGCTTGTTAAGGGAATGAACTGAGAGGGTGTGAAAGGCTTGTAGTATTAAGAAGTAAACTGACATGACATTTAGAAATGTGGAAATCCATTAAGAATCTTTAAGGAGGTTGTGGAGAGGAGCTTTAATATAATAAGAAAAGGCATCTGCATTGACAGCCAAGAACCATTGTTTGAAACAAACCATTTCAACTTGCCCATGCAGTGAGGATAAGTTTACTGATTTTGCCACAGATGAGTTTCAAACAGAAGGAATAAGGAAAAGAGTATCAGTTGTTTCCCTGGAACTCCATCCAGACTTCAAGGCAAGTGGAATTAGAAAGGATGATTTCTAACTTGGCTGGGTTGATTTAATCCCTTTCCAGATGATTGACATTTTCTGCTCGGCAGAGCTCAGGGACTGGAATTGCAAGAGTATTTTCATGCGTGTTGAAGATGAACTGGAAATCCCACCGGCACCTCAATCTCAACATTTCCCAAACTGAACTCATCACCCTTCTTCCCCCCCCACCAAAACTGCTCCTCCTCTTGTATTCCTGACATCCACCAGTGGCCCTGCCATCCACGCAGTGACTCAAGCCAGAAACCCGGCAGCCCTCCAAAACTCTTCCTTTTCTCACTCCCGCATCCTGTCTGTCTCGGCCTTCACAGTCTGTTGGTTCTAACCTACTAAGCAACTAGGCATTCAGTATATGTGATTCCCCTTTTCTCTCCCTCCTCCTCTTCCCACAGCATCTCTCTTAGTCTAGGTCCTTGTTCTTTCTTGCCTGGACTCCTGCAGTAGTCTGACTGGTCTCCTTGCTTTCGGTCTGGTGCTCCACCAATCTTTCTTTCCAAATTGCACATCTGAGCATGACACTTCCCTGCTTGAATTTCTCCAGTGGTTTCCCGCCCACTTCAGGACCCAGTCCCAGTTGTTAGCATGGCATCCAGTGGCCCTTTATGGTCTGTCCGTTGCTTGTCTCTTCAGCCTCATATCTCCCAACTCTTGCACAGACACTGCTCTTCAGCCAGAGTGACTCACAGATGCACAGGTTCTTGTATGCCTCGTTGCCTTTGCACGTGCTGTTTGCTTCGCCTGGGATGCCCTTCGCCATCACCACCCCACTTGCCGACTCCACTAACACCTCTCCATTCTTTTATACTCAGCTTTCTTTAAATGTCACCTAAGCTGAGTTAGATGTCTTTCCTGTATGATCCCACAGTATTCCATGAATACCTGTATTATCACATTTATTGTACTATATTACAATTGTTGAAAACTTGTCTGTCCCTGTTTAGAATGTGAGCTCCTTGAGAGCAGGACTGTGTCTTCCTCATCTCTGTATCCCCAAAGCTTTGCACAGTGCCTTGCACATAGTAGGTTTTCAATAAATGATTATTAAATAAATAAATGGTAGTGGTCTCTGCAGAAAGAATCAATGTAAAAATCAGATACAGCTTAGCACTTCTTCTCTTCTTTTATACTTACAATCATAGCCTCTTAGAGTTGAAAGGGATCTTAAGCAAATTGTCTTTAACAGTGACCCTGAATGGCGACAGACTCATCTTGAATACTTCCAGCCATGGGAGCTTACCTGTTTAACATCAAAGCCCTCTTCATTATTGGATCACTCAGAACTCTTCCTGATACTACTAAAATCTGCACCCCTTTAATTCCCACTTATTATTCCTATTCTACACTTTGAGAGTGCGCCAAACAGGTCTACTTCCTCTTGCAAATTTTTAGGACTGCTCATTTATTCATGGCCACCTCTAACTGACTACCTTCTCTTTCCTCCAGGTACAATATCTTAAATTTCCTAAAGTCTTCTGTACATGACATGATTTCTAAACCTAGTATCACCCAAGCTGCCACCATGGATGTTCCTTAGCTTATGGACCTAGACTATCCATTATTTTCTTCTACTCTGTAGCCAACCTCTGAGTAAAAGTAGTTGCCAAAACTGAGTAGATTAGAGTATAACTTGGTAAAATTTAAAATAAGGATATATTTATAACATTAGACAATTACTGTTCCCCCTTTTGTTTCTCCCTTAAATATTTTTTAGAGCGTATTGTAAAGGTATGTCATTGGTTCAGTCTTCTTCATTAAACTTACTGATAGCACTTAGTGGGAGTTTAGGATCAGTACAGAGATTCTCAGCCTCTAGTATGTACGCTGACCTGGCCACACCACCAGAAGTTCAGAATCCTGAGTATTAACACCCAGGAATCTGTGTTCTTAACAAAGACCCCAGCTGATTCTGATGCTGATTGAGGACCACATTTCCTTCCAAGGACACCGGTCTCAAGAAAGCTAGACATTTGAGAAACCATTTGTAGTTGCGTGGTGTGCTGTCAGAGCTGTTCAGAGGAACGCTTTCCAGGAGCCAGTGGCTTCAGTTGGGCCGTACCTTGCAATCATCAAGGGAGCTTAAAAATTATTGATGCCCGACCCTTCCCCAGGGATGGTCTGGGGTCCGCATGGGCATCCGAGTTGTCAAATGCTCCCCCTGGTGACTCAGGTGTGCAACCAGGGCTGAGAACCACTGTACTTACTGAATGAAAGGACTGATGGCCTGAGACTGCATTGCCCAGCAAAGGGATTGGAAGGTGCGGGGGACAGTAAGTAGAACGTGACTTTCTCTAGGAAAGGCTGTATGGCTGTCCCTTCTCCTCCCCAATACCCTCCTGGGAGAGGGAGAGGGATGTTCATTATGAATGGTAGACAACAGGCCACTCTTTTCATTTAATGTTTCCAAATGATTGAATAAAATATGAATTTGCCTTTAGGGTCCCCATATTTTATACTCTACCAAGGTGTGGTAGTTTGGTCAGCTACCCATGATTTTCAAATGTAGTTTAGATAAAAGTTTGCTTTGAAACGTCTGGAGAATGACATGCATCTTGCTCTTCATTAAGGTCTAGCAGTTTCCACAGACTTCCTGGGGAAGGAAGATGGATGGCCTGAACGAGACAAGCCCGCCTCCCTCCCCACCCCCAGAGTCTTCTCCACATCTTCCCCTGGTCACCTCATCAGGGCCCTCCCAAGCACCCCACGGGTTATCTGGCAACTGCCCTAGAGGCTGCCTGCGGCCATTTGCAGCTTGTGAAAGTGGTTTTCTCAGCCCTCTCCTGAGATAATGTCCCTGGGATAATGACTTTTAGTAGATGCAGAGAGATTGCTCTGTCACCCCCAGGCTTGAGAACTCTCCAGTGTGTTTACAGTAGATTTGCTGCCAGTAAGGAAGGCCAGGGGGAAGTGAGAACCACTGGCAAACAGTAAAAAGAGAGGCTTCCACTGGCTTTTCCCCTGTAATCTAATCTACCTCAGTGATTTAGGACTAACTCTTCCTAGAATGTTTGGTTGCCAAGATAAGGTTGTGCATATAAATAAGTTATCATTGCAAAGCACTGCTCACAGAATGTGAGAAGGTCAGCATTCTGACCCTTGGCTTTCAAGGGCCCTGTCTTTCCTCCTCTGGTCTCTCTCCTTCCCTGAGACAGAGCTCCTGACTCCTGACTCTCATCTTCACTTATAGGCCTTGACCTCTTTGAAGTCTGATATTGATTACAGTGCGATGTCAATTGTCCGTTGCTGTAGGGCACCTGGAACCTATTCAGATAAGCAGAGGCGTTGAGGATGTTAAGGAAGCATGTTGGGAGCCGTGACCTGCTCCTAAGTGATGGTGTTTCAGGAAAAGGAGGAGCAGGCAATTGAAGTGTCACTTTCTCTTGTTTTATTAGTTCAGTTGCTTTTTCTCACCACAAGACACTGATTGAATCATGGGGCATTTTGGTTAAAAATTTGAGCATGCATCTCTGCCCTCTGGACAGACGTTTTGGACATTGAGAGAGATGGGCTGTTGCAGGGTTGCCTGGTGTTGCTCATTCAGACTGAACTGTTCAGGCAGTAAATTTCCCCCTAAGACTAGAAGTGAAACTGCTGTTTCTCTTTGTGCATTGGTTGGATCTCTGACCAAGAAGTATTAACTAATTTTCAAACATGTAAAGAAACACAAATGAGCACCCCAAGCAATAATGCATGCTCCTCCAGACTTTGTTATAATCCCTCCTGATGAAAGCCGCTGGTGACTAAGTGATAGGGCTCAGCGGCCTCAGTGGCCTTAGATGTCTCGCTGCACCATCTGCCTCTTCCTCGTGGGTGTGGGATCGGGGAGGAGGAGGAAGGGAGGCAGCGGAGGTGGAAGGTGTCTTAGCAATGAAGGGAGCACGTCTCAGCTGGGGTTCTGCGAGAGAGAACTTTAGGCTCTCTACGAAAAAGTTCAAGGGAGTCTTTCTCAGTTCCCCCATGGCTGGAACGTTCTAGATGTGAGGGAGGAAAATAAATCATTACATACATTGGAGACATTGGAGCTTAATTGTCTCGTAGAACCTCGTTGAGAAGGGCAGGTATAATCCAGGGAAGAAGGGACCACTGTATCTTTCTGTGCAGTATGGCAAGAAGGGGCATCTATGGACATGAGACGGGACAAAGCTCTCCTCTGGATTTTCAGAGGTCTCGCTTTTGTGCTTTTTGTCCAAATCAGGTCAAAACAATGCAAACGGACAAACAAAAATGGCCTTTATTTTTAGCCAACCTTGTAACATCATCTCTATTCATTCTGCAACTCAAGTTAAGGCTGCCTGATGGCTTCAAATTTTAGCGCATGGAATGGCCCAGAGGGTGACTTTGAGTGATGCCTTTCATCCTAACCACACTGGCTCCTACTAACATTCTGCAGTCCCCTCGCCACTCAGTCACAACTTCGGCAGTTATAAATCTGTTCTTGGCCAAGTCTTTAGGATGTGATAATTTCACCACGAGCGTCACCTTGTTTATTGAGCCCCATGTTCCAGCGCCTGTCAGAACCAGGATTCATCCAGACCCTTCAGCACATAGCTCCTTTTCACAGAGCTGAGTATTGTAGCAGATGCTGTGGTCCATGGAGCCTTGGTGGTCTCTGATTACATATATGTATGTGTTTGTGTGTAAGTATATATACACATGTATAATTATATGTATATACATATATAATTATGTATATATATTTAATTCTATAATGTTACCATATTGGATTAATGCAATCAGTAGACTTGCTCCATATTATCCTCTCATAACCAGGATTTTACAAATGCTTTCAGAGGCAGCTTGGGCAGTAATTACTCATTCCTGGGCCCAGTGTCTCCCATGGTGCCTTCCAACTGCGTTCATGAATACAGCTCTAAACTAAAAAGGGGAGGCCATCCCTCCTGTAGGGTAAACATCACAAGTAGTTCTGTGCATTCAATGAAGAATAATCTCAGAAGGTTAACCAGAAACTTCTGTGTATCTAACACACATTTGAGGAAAGAACCATCTCACCTTTGCTCCAATACTCATGTGGCTGCCTGTTTCTTCACTGGAAATCCAGCCTGGCACTCAAGGCCCTCCTGGTACCCGCTAGCCCCTGGGAACTCTCCCTCTAGCCATTCCAGCTAAGCTAAACTATTTACCGTCTTCTGGTCACACCTGTTTGCTTTCTCATTTCTGTTCCGGCTGCTTATTGAGCCTGGAGGGCCCACCCTGCTCCTATTCCTTTTCTTACCAACTTTACCCCATCTCTGTCTTTCGATATTCTGACCATCCATCCGTTTCACTTGCCTCATTTTAAAAAGTTTTCCTGATCCTTTCAACAGAGTGGATTCTCTCCCTTTTCTCAACCCTCCTGGTGCTTTGGGTGGGCCTCTATCCTGAGTGCTGTCGTGGCCCATCTGGTGTGACTTTGCTCTGTCCAGGTCTGAGTGGCTCCTTCCCCACTGAGCTTTGAGCTTCCTGACAGTGGAAGTTTTTACCTACATTCCTTTATATCTCACCCAGCACTGAAGTGCCTTACTGAGTAATATATTTAATTGATGTAAAAGACAGATTGGAGGATTCCAAATCTTATGTTATCTTGAGTTTCCATTATAAGAATCTCACACTTGATGATCCAGCTATAATGTGTTACAGTCCTTCCCAGTATGTGTTCTACTGGTCCTCTTTAAAAAAACAGGAAAGATTCTGAGATCAGTGAATTTGGGAAACTTGACCACCATACCTCTTCTTGAAGACCCATAGAGGAGCCTGTTTTAAATGAATTAAACATACTGTCTCCTAAACTTGTTCCCCGCCCTGCAGATGTACTTGCACCCTCACTTCCCACTTCGAAGGGAAAGTCTTGGTGTAGACAGTGCTGTGCGATGGACAAGGGATTAGGACAAAGGACTCCATAGTACAAGAACCAGTGGTTGTACCCAAGCGATATGATACCTTGGTTCTGAACAGAGACAGAGGACAAGGAAATCATCCAACACCCCTGTCTTCCCTGACTGCGTTAGGGCACCTCTTCTGCCAGATGCTGGATGGTTTGTGGAATGAAGCTGATTCTTCCCAAGAACATAATCAGAATGGATTTGGGATTATGTTAAATGGATCTCAGGCAAAGCACTGTTTCTTAAAAGCCACAGCTAATGAGCATTACTCTGTACATGAAAAGCTGAAAGGAATTTAGCAACCAGATGAAGGGTTCCCAGAGCCCCACTCAGAGCAGCCCCTCTGCAACAAGGACAGGTCCCCAGGAATAGCCAGTTTGCTGCCCTCACCCAGGCTCCCAAGATGCATCCTGCTAAGCAGGTCGTTCAGAAATAAGCAGGGGCTGCACAGGTGTTTGGGAGACGAAGGGATCCCAAAGCAATTCACACACAACAAACTTGACTTTTTAAAATTGCCTTTTCCATTTAAAGTAAGTTCTACACCCAGCAAGACGGGCAGCTGGTCTAAGTTATCACCATTTTGCAACTCTTCTGCCCACTTGCCCCCCGACTGTCATCCCTATTTGATGATGCTAGTCATCTGCATGGGCAGGCAGCACGTCCCAAAGACTAGTAGGAAGACCTTGGGACTGTGGGCCAGCTGTCAGGGCAGCAAGGGGCTGTCAGGAGACACTCGTGTCCCTTATCTGGAGCCAGGGGCTGGAATGCAGTTTGACCATCAGCCGATGTTTCCTGTAAACATAAAGATGAAATGGAAGCCTTTTGAGACTTTCATAATGCAGACTTAAGACTCAAGCCTGGGTTAGAGAGTTCATTTTATGGTCTTGAACGCTCTCTCTCCTGACTTCTGTCGTCTCTCTGGTTTCTTTGCAGTTCCTCAGCACGTTGTTTGCCCCCTTAAACTTTGTCATGGAGAAAGTGGAGAGCGTCCTCCCATCCAGTCTGTGGCACCAGCTGACACGGATCTGAGGGAAGCCCCATCCCCCACTCACCTCACCCAACCGGCTGCCACCGTCTCCTCTGTGCCAACTCCTCGTGGACCGCAAGAAAGCATGACTTTGAAAAAGGGAAGCCATTCCGAGATTTTAAAATGTTCATGGACTGTCCGTTCCATATTAAAAGCTGTTTTTGTTGTACAAAATTCATTGATGTTCAGTTCTATTTTATTTTGCATTCAAAAAAGAAGAAAAAAATCAAAAATAAACTTTTGTGTATTGCAGCAATCAGTCATGTCTTCCTATGTCTTCCAGCCCTAAAAGTATTGATGTCCCAAACAAACCTGTGAGTTTACGTTGAATTTCACAGGGACCCAGGTCTGCTGAATGCCACACCATGGTTCTCTGTGCTGATGGATGCATATCAGAGCAGGCCCTGGGAACCCCTTGTCGTTGGAGGCTTGGAAAACGGAATCTCTTTGATTTAAAAGTACCATCGTTTTTAACCCCAGACTGAATGTCCTTCTAGGCCAAATGCACACACACACAAAAGCTTCCAAAATGAGTGACCAGAAGCATGAATGAAACAAAACATACGTGCCATAGCAGGTTGTTCCAGTTCAGAGCCTTGACCTATTGAATATTATTCAACACTGTAGTTCCAGGAATCATTTTGTTTTTGCTGTTGAGAAGAAAACTTCTGAGGAGAACCTACAGACCCAACAGTCTGTTGTAGAACCTAACCATTTTACCAACATCACCATTTTTTAAATGTTTTCTCATAAGGAACTTTTTAAAAAAATCATGTTTGCATTCCTGATGCTTCAACGTGAACGTTCTTTGAGTATTTTAGTGAAATGAACCAAAATGATCATTTGTCCTCCCCACCTTTAAAAGCCTTCCACGTGATTCATACCTTGCTTAGCATCTGGCTTCACTTAAGCAAAAGAAGAAAAATAAATAAACTTGAATCTTCTATCTAAAAAGTGCCACTATTTAAAATCTCAATCCAGTGCTTAAAAAAAAGGACTGTCCTTAACATAGTTGGTTTTCCCTTTTATTTAGAATCTTAAATCTCTCCCCGCCAGTGTTAAAATAGGCAGTATTCACGGAAAACACCAGGCCATATCTCCTTTCCAGTTGGACTTCCTTCTGGATCCTGGTCTTCCTCCAAGAGCAAAATCAGGAGGGCAGGTGACATTTAGGCACACATGCCTAGAAACATTTTGCTTTTGGCAAACTTTTGTTTGGACCTACTTTACACAAAGCCCTGCTGGGGATATGCAGCTGCCTCTTAAGGAAATTATCTAGGAAGAAGTTGAATTCCATCTACACGCCAGCGGTGCTGCTCCTGGTGGCAGGGGCCACGTCTGCCGTGTTGACCTTATTACCTCTTCCCCCAACATAACTGCTGATGTAGAACGGAGGCTAAGATGATTACTTCAATGAATTGGTGCAATGTGCAACAGGTACAAATAGATTTTGACCCATGTTCAGAGGAGAGAGATTGGCTCCAGCTGAGAAGCACTGGGGAAGGCTTAGAATTGTGATTGTGAGTTGGAAGAAAAAGTTATTAACACAATTCTTTGATTTAATAGATGAGGAAACCAAAGTCCAAAGAGATTTTGACCTGCCTAAGGAGAGACTCCAGATTGTAGTAAGCTGTGAATGAAAGATTTAAGAGCCTGTAGGCAATGAAAAGTGGAAATGGCCTGAAGAAGTTGTTAGAAACCCCACGTTGCAGAAAATGCAGCAATGAAATGGAAGATAAGGATTTAAAAGTATCTAGTGAATTTAGTAATTAGGACTTTAGAGCAGTTTCGTGGAGAGTTGAGGCAGAAGTTAGGCTTTGAGGGGTGGGAGGAGTATGCAGGAGAGGTGACGGATGCAGGCGTAGTGGGGGCAGTAGAGACTGTCGAAGGAAATGAATCTATGGGCCAAGAGAGGGGCTGATCAGGTGAGGAGGAGGGAGACATCTCTGGACTTGAGGGAAGCAAATGATAATGAACTTACTAGACCTTTCATGTTATAACCCAGGCTCAAGACCCCTCCTCAACTGCACTGTTCAACTCGTGAGCACATCAAGGACTCACCATGCAGTTCTCACCTCCCCAGGCCTGAATGCCAGAGTCTTTGCTGTCCTCCCAGCTCCTGCCTGCTTCACTGCCCCTGAAGACAAGCATGAAGGCCCTTTTAATTTGAAGGGTTTTATGCAAATCTCTGCAGAAGTAGAGTCACAGGGACCCAAATAACACAGCAGATGTTTTTAAGATGATCATTTGTACACAGTTTTTACACTTTTTACCCGAGGTCCACAGTTCCTGACTTCTTACTGAGATGGCAGCTGGGATCAGAGGTGCATTCTGCCTTCCGCCTTTATTTCTGTGTGAGGCTGCATCAGAATCCATTCGGATGGGCTTTCCTTTTTAAAGGCCCCTCCTCCCAGCAGGACAATAAGCATACCTCAGTCTCGATTTATATGTTTGTGTTAGAATACAAATGCACACGTTTTAAATTAAATGTCAGCAAATTGAATCTAGCAATGGATACAGGAAATAATGCAATATGACCAAATGGCATGATTGTAGGTTTATGTGGTTTTCTGTAACTTCCTTTATCTGTACTTATCAGTATGAAAGTCGTTCTGGCTTTATAAAAGATTGGGAAGCTTTCCATGTTTTTAATATGGCCTGGAATAATTAAACAGTGAATTATCTGCTCTAACAGTATTAAACTCAGACATGAAACATCTGAGTTTAGGGCTTTCTTAATGGTAGATTTTTGAGCACCTTTTTACTATCTGCTATGTGATCAGTCTATGCAAATTTTCTACTTCTTGTTATGTTCGGTTGATTGCATATTTTTCTAGGAAATTACCGTTTTCTCTAGGCATTCAAATGTGTTACCATAGAATGACATGGGTATTTAATTTATATATTTAGTCTCATCTGTATTTGCAGTTATTTCTCTTTTCTCATTCCGAATTTTGTTTATTTTTGCTGTCCTTCTTTCCTCCCTTTAATCAGCCTCACAAACTTATCTATTTTATTCTGTCAAAGAAATCAATTTTTGATTTACTAATGCAGCCAACTATTCTTTTTGCTCTATATTTTATTATTTTCAGCTTTTATCTATTTGCTCTTCCTAGTTTCTCTTTTTTTTTTTTTTTTTTGAGACAGAGTCTCACTTTGTTGCCCTGGCTAGAGCGAGTGCCATGGCGTCATCCTAGCTCACAGCAACCTCACACTCCTGGGCTCAAGCGATCCTACTGCCTCAGCCTCCCAAGTAGCTGGGACTACAGGCATGCGCCACCATGCCCGGCTAATTTTTTCTATATGTTTTTAGTTGTCCGATTAATTTCTTTCCATTTTTAGTAGAGATGGGGTCTCGCTCTTGCTCAGGCTGGTTTCGAACTCCTGAGCTCAAACAATCCGCCCGCCTCGGCCTCCCAGAGAGCTAGGATTACAGGCGTGAGCCGCCGCACCAGGCCCTAGTTTTTCTTTTTTATAAGAATTATAATTTTTCTAATGTCCTTAAATGAATATCTGGTTCATTTTAATTTTCAAAAGAAGGTACTGAAACCTACACATATTTCTCTGTAGCTTCCTTGTCCTATACATTTTGCTATAAAGGTTTCTTCTTTTCATTCCTTTGTAGAAATTTAGAAATTTCTGTTTTGGTTTCTTTTATTTATGAGTGATCACTTTGGGGCATTTCCTAACAATTGGTTCTCCATTAGTGACTTCAAGGAATTTATTTTTAACGTCCCTCTGCAATATCTAATGAAAACATCAAAGATGTTCAACTGCCTGTCCCCAAGCACTGTAAACCCTAGTACCTGACACCCACACATTACTTATAAGTAAACTTTTGATCTCTCTTTCCATAATTTTTTAAGATTATCTTCTTCTTCTATGTGAAACTTCAAGGGCAATGTTAAAATGTTTAAAACATGTCTATGTTCCTTCCACATCTTTTCCTTGTTCTTGTCCTAGGACCACCCCTTCACCAAGCTGAAACAAAGCTATGTGCCAGGTCTCTAGGGAGCTGAGTGGACACAGGGAAGTGGCACCCACGTAAGTGCTGAAAATGAGAGACATGGGGCCCTCTAAGATGTTCGCAGCACATACTTGGCTTCTGCTCTGCAGAAGTGACAGCTTGGGCTGGCTGTACTAAGAATTGAAATTTTAAAAGGGGCGGAGGGGGAAGGGAGGTCTAGACAGGTGCTTGAAGGAACTAGTCTTACACTTCTGGCTTTTGAGGGTCAAGAATGGCTGAGGCGGAGCAGGCAGGAACTGGCTGAAACGGAAATGTCCACGCAGGGGAGATTGGCCCTCTGTCGGGAATGCTTCGGAGAGCCACAGAGGCTAGGGGCAGACAACCTCCAGGTAGTCTCTGTATCCCTTCAGAGTAATAGCTACGGTTCTCTAGCAGGTGCAGAGAGGACAGAAAGGAAGCCAGTTGTCTTCCCCTCTTTCTCCAGCTTGTCTCAGGTTATGTCCAGCTCAAGTCAATTTCAGAGTCCCTTGGGTCCTTGGCCTTGAGGGCTGGTTTGTGACCAACTTTAGGAAGAACACCTTTAGAATCGAAAACCTCAACTAACCATCGCAGAAAGGCAAGCAAGCCTCAAGATGGCGTGTGTTTGTCCCGGGAAGGGGCGTCAGTTACAATTTTAGAGAATGTGCAAGGAATATAATTTTTTAAATGTTCTTTAAAACCACCTGCTTCCTGCTCTGAGCCCCATCCCACCAAGCCAGCAGGGAACGTCATCCGAGTGCTGAGTGGGATGTCCACCTCCAGAGTGTGTCTGCCTGCAGAAGGCCCGTGTCCCGGCTGCCTCTGAGAGCATCGCATCGTCCAGCCCTGCGATGTTTCTCACTTCCTTGGCTCTCTGCTTCAGTGGCACGCACAGGACACAGGCCCTGGGACCCCCCATGCCAGGCTCCCACATGGGAGCGCTGTCGCCCTCTTTGAGGTACGGGTGCTGCTCACAGGACCACAGACCACCCTCTCAGCCTCTTCAGCCTCCCTCCCGGGCACCTGGGGGCATCCTGCAGGGGAGACGCCCCACCGACCGTGGGCTCTTCCCGGCCACTTCTGCTTTTCTCCTCACCAGCTTTCTGGGACAAAGAACAACAAACTCTGGACTCCTTGTTTAAAATGGCAAAAAGGAGGATGTGGGGAGGAAAATAGGAATTAACATCTCAAAAATATTTTGCCCACAAATCAGATAACCTCCTTCACATCCAGTGCAAATTAGATCCGTTTGTTCGCTCGTTCCTTCATTC